CACCGATGTTTTCTGCATGTACGGCATTGTGGTAGTAACGTCAAATATAGCAAAGGCTTTACATCGCTGAAATTTTGATGCATATCTACGTAGTCATCCCCCCCCTTCTGTATGCATGTCAGTATAATAGAGATCCGTAAGATATGCCTGAGATTTTTGATATGTATGTATGTATGTATGTATGTATGTATGTATGTATGTATGTATGTATGTATGTATGTATGTATGTATGTATGTATGTATGTATGTATGTATGTATGTATGTATGTATGTATGTATGTATGTATGTATGTATGTATGTATGTATGTATGTATGTATGTATGTATGTATGTATGTTAACAATATACTTACTTGTCTATTGTCCTTTCGACCCACACGCATACTAACTGGCTATTTGTTTAAGTCGTTTTGTGTAATTTCACAGGCCGGGTGGATGCTTGTCTCTAATTTTTCGGATTTGATGACTGCAATGCAGTGCTGTTTTGTGTTCTCTCTCAAATCTTTGCAAAGTTGTTAACAGTGGTTTCGTCAAGTAAATAAGTTATGTTTGCAGTCGAAACTCTCTTTAATTTTGTTGTGATTATATCTTTAATATTTATTAGTTCATATGGGCAAGAAAAGACAACATTGAACATGTTCTGACGACTCTCCTGTTGACGTTCTTCTAAATAATTTATTGTTCTTTTTATTCTCATACAAACCACTGCAGGCTTAGGATGAAGGCAGCTGCCTCATACAAATTAATGTTCGAATTTTTTCTCTCTGTCGGACAATAAATTACAATTTATATTAATAATACAGGCCTATATCGGAATAGAAATAATTTCGAGAAAGCTGTTTATTCATACACTTGGCTAAACACGGCAACGTTACTTAACTGTAATGTTATACCTATCTGCGCTATGAGGTATATATAGAAAACACCATCTAGCACACAAGAAATACATTAATATTTTATATTGCACTTTGCACGCACCGTCTAGTAAATCGTACAGTTTATTCATTTTTTTTTCATCACTTTATAGATATTTTTATTCAACTGTTGCATTACAAAATTTAGGATATTAGTTAGCAACGATTTATCGATAGTGCCTGAATATAATTAATATTTGTATCTCACAAAATAAATATTCACTAGTATAATCATTACAAATGTTATGTTTGCTAATTACCACAAATTAGCACTGAATTGAGTCAACAGAGCATATTCTATTGTGCTCATACAATATGCTAGGATATTTTGTTGTTTTCTTTGCACTCTTCTGCGTTATTATTGGTAATTTATTAATTAGTGCCAAATACTCTTTAGATAGACTAAAATATATTTACAATGCAGATATGGAATATTTTCATAATATATATTGCAAATTAATAAATTACCTAGTTAATTGATTAATTATTTTTTGTGTAAAGTCTTTTTAAAAAAAATCAATTATTTATGATGAAAATTATAACCACCAAAAGGGTAACTACCACCATTAGCTGACATAGTAAAAATGGGGAAAAACAGTACTTAAAATACATACTCAGAATTTCATAACTACAAATATTGTTTCTCGCCTGGTGAAGACCGTGCTATCTTAAGCCGAACGTTTCTCAGAATAACAGTATTTATAAAAACGTAGCTTCGCAATTTAAAATTCACAACAAACACGACAGATGAATAAAAAAAAACCCATTAATATCTTAGCATAGGTATACAGGATATTAACTGCAGCATTGAAATATTTAACGCGACAACAGTGCATTAAAACTGAAGTCTTACAAATAAATTTAAATAAAGAATGAAAGGAGAATAGCAAATTCTCCAACTTCATACAAAAAAATACCTTAACCTGCTATCTGGTAAGGAAAACTTATATGATCATCATTTACTTACTCATTTTTAAATGGTTCCTCCCAGAGGATCTTAAAACTCCAAACACTAAACACAGAATGAGGAGGCCGATGCTCAGCGAGAGAAAATTGCTCAGCTGATTGTTGCGACTAATCGAGCTTGATGTTGATACAGTAGCATAGCCATTGATACCGGTGAACTTGTGTTTTCATTGGCGTGTCCAGCCGATAAGAACAGCAAACATATGAACGCCTCTGAAAAGTGTACCTGCCAGCCGCGGAGAACGAATTAAAATTTATTACACGAATGAATGGAACATTTTGTTTGCAAAATATAAACTTGCGATATTTTACATAGATAATGACACCGGTAATGATAAAATGCAACAAAACTAGTTCGAGAGTAGGATTACAAATGATTTTTCTGTTTGAAAAGGGACTATAAGGCAAAATCACACATTTCAAGTTATCTCAGTACTATGAACCAGAATTGGTATACTTACATATTTTTGACCTAAAACTAAAGTCAGTTGTAAATGTTACACGAGTTCCCCAACGACTGGTTGTTTAAATTGCCAGATCAGAGAGAGAGAGAGAGAGAGAGAGAGAGAGAGAGAGAGAGAGAGAGAGAGAGAGAGAGAGAGAGAGAGAGAGAGAGAGAGAGAGAGAGAGAGAGAGAGAGATGTAAAATCTCGAATTTGTACAAAATATATAATTAAATTGTCTGTGCTTGTTTATAATTTTTAAAAATGTTTACAGGCATATCGCTACGATGTTTTCATTGTGACAGTTTATAGAGATGTCTAGCACTGGGGCATCATGCCAGACATGTAGCATGATGTCCAACCCAGTCACATTATATTGACTCCAGGCCGACCAGTCCTAACATGAACTTCTTAATGTTGAGCGCCTACCGAGGCAGCTATTAGTACCACTAGTCGTCGGTATGAGTCTGCCGGGGTTTGAACCAGCAACCTCTCGCATCCGAGGAGGACGCTCTAAAGGCTGTCTCTAAAGAAAGTATTATTGATTTGAATGTATCAGTGCTATAATAAATTAGTAGTCATATTCATCGCTTTGGTTACCTGCTTTACGTTGGATAATATCCCCTATACCCACAACAGCTGATTTTGTGGTGGTGTCACCAGGAGAAAACCATACGCGCTCTGCAGAAACCTCGATTAAGACTACATTTTATGCAGTCTTTTCTCTGCAATGGATTTAGTGTTGAATGGAATGATTTTGCTAAATGATTAAGACGAGATAGCCAGTAATTCTTTGCTTGCAGTTATTGAGCACATGTCTGATAATGTTACAATATAGCAATAGCTGATGTCACACCATATCGATGATGTCACAACTGAGCGCATCTGAGCTTGCCTTTCATAGTACGTTTCATTGGAACTTGGTTTTGACATCTGAATGTCAATATGTACGTTCAATAAATAGTCTTTTTCCCCCCATCTGTTGACAGATTCGGACCTAATGCCAGACTCATTTGTAAAGAATAAATGGAGCATACATACGTTTTATTGCAGTTGTTATTCCGTTTTTCGCAAACCTGGTGAGAGAAAGTAAAGCGCTGATTTTTCAGTTCGTAAATTTACATAAAATAGTTTTTCTGTCAACATATGCTTTTGGTTCCATCAAGTAAATTAGACAACAATTCCTTGTCAATTTCTTGCCGAAATCAGAACAAAATAAATGGGAGCTATCGTGATTATTTGTGTCTTCTCAAAAATCAAAAGAAAACTTACCGATTACGATAAAGAAATCAAATATATATTCTCCGAGTTAATATCTATAAAAAAAACATTTTTCAACATTCCTTAAATCAAATAAGTATGGCTGATATTCAGCACTATCCAATAGTAATGTATACAAACTGACACGTCTGATTTCACTCATGCATATTTCATTTTCTTCGCGTTATCTTTACCAAAACTATTTTTGTCTAATGAGATAATGACGAGTTGCACAATATTTAAACATATTTTGATGCTATAGTTTAATTTTTGTCATGGGAATGAAATCTCGAAACAAATAATCAACTTATTAGAATTTAATCCTAATCTTCGACAATTTAGCAAATAATAATAAAAAGTGTTTAATTTAAAATACACAATAAATACGGTAAAGCCTTGATTTTTGAAAACAGAATATATTTTTTAACATGTATAATATAATAACAATGCTTCATGTAATAAAAGATTAAAAAGTTTTTTCAATGTCATGTTATATTTCGTTCTACAAGTATAAAAGTTTGCTTTAATAAAAACATAATTGATCAATCAGGTTTTGCATGATGCTGGTCAGATCATCGTTCTATTACTGCTTGTAATTATATTTATTAAGAAAGAAAGTTTTCAATTTAGACGTTCCTCTCCTTAACTAAGATAAATAATTAAACTACCAAGCATATAGGAATTAGGTGTGGAAATTTAAAAAAAAAGACAGGTGACGTTCATACACGTAATGAAGTGATGGGTGTGTGAAGGATTTATAAGATCGGAGTTTTATGCATATCTATATTTTTTGTGTCTCCTATTACATAATTTTATAACTGTTGCAATTTGTATGTATGACTGTAAACATTAGTGATTATCTTTAATTAGATATTGCTTACGTGACTGTGGTCTCTTTTAGGAAATCAAAGAGCGTAATATTGCATAACATTCATAAAGTTGCTTACGTGTGTTTATAATTACTACAGCTAATTCTAATAATAACTTATTTAAGACTTTGGGTTATTTCTCATTGTCTATTGGGATTTGGGCGGTTCTAGAAGAATTAAGTAATTTCTCAATGATGGGATAAGTCACATGAATAGGTATTTCGAAATATTCACAGAGTAATATGTTCTATAAATTGTATGTTAAAAAACGTTTGTAATTGAGTATATAAGCGAAGAACCGAACAATCAGATTCATTCTTATTTTAGAGCAATTCTTATTTATTGTGTTCCTGTTGCAACATCAAGTCTGCAGACGTGTTTTATGTTGTTCTTGGATATTACTCTAGAAAAAAAAATGTTTTGACCATTCAGTGGAAATAAAAAGTGCTCCTTTTTTACTATATTATTATTTTGCAACTAACGAAGAAAATCCTTTTAGCCTGCTATTTTTGTTTCAGAACTAAATATTTGTAACAAATAAGTTGGACCGCTCCGGTGGCCCAAGTGGTTAGAGCGTCCGCCTCCGATGCGGGAGGTCGCGAGTTTGCCCCCCCCCCGAGCCATACCAAAGACTTATAAAAATGGTACTAGCAGCTTCCGCGCTTGGCGCTCAGCATTAAGAAGTTAGTGTAAGGTTTGGTCGGCCAGGTGCCAGGAAAATGTGACGATGACACATGGTGCCCCAGTGCTGGACATCGCTATAAACTACCACACTGCATTATAGAGATATGACAAATCTAACACACACACAAACACACACCCTAAGATTTATTTACGAGTTATACAATATTAAAACGCATTTTGATGGTATCGTTAAAATTTTATCATGTGAATAAAATCTTGAAACAACATATAAACTTATTTGAATTTCATTCTAACCTTTGAAAATTGTGCAAATATTAATAAACAATTTTTAACTTAAAACACACACTAAATAACTAAATATGTAAAAATCTTGATTTCTGAGTAAAAAATTTACCAAGATTAATTTTGTGAAATTCTCTCAATCAAGAAATTGGATAATTGTAATGCAAGATGAAGAGTAGAACCTAAGCAAAAGTTTCCCCTGCTGGAACATGGCATCAAGCCTGTTGTAACACACATATTAAAATGATCAATATAGAACTTTTCATTCTTTTGAACCATCACATAACCTTTTTAGGATTATTTTAGATTCACTTCATAATGCTTTAACTTCCTCTAAAATTTTCATTTATAACGTTGATAATTATTTTTATAAAGTTTAACAAACCTTGTTTGTTTTGCTTCTGTTTCTTATTTTATGACCATAGTCATAACAAGAGGGATAGTTCTGGTGTGGTCCAGTACATACAATTAATAACTTTAGTTATAATTGAACAAAAATAAATCAGATGTTTGCGAATCGGAGTTAATAAATAAATCTGCATTTCTTTTTGTAGCATAGTATTGTTAGGGTCAAGTTTGTTGCCGAATAAAAGGACTGAAGATACAAAGCCATATCAAATGATCAGGTAGCCTTTAGCTGCAGTAGATGGAAGAAATGAAGTGGAAATAAATACAAAGTAAAATCTAGTACATAACTGAGCAGTTTTAATTCATCATTAACAATCACATATCAAACTTTTAACTCACATAATCATGTTTGGATGCCTGTACTTCATTTCAGTGGAATGACTCAATCAGATTCACATGTAAGCACATTTGGATGCACCATCTGCACAGAAGCATGTTTTGATGCTGACAGTAAACACCAGATACTCCAATCTGCTTTTCATGGTGCCATCAACCTATTTGAACTTTTGGTACTGTAGAAAATGACCAAGCCATTACATCAAAGTGACATTAACTTTGATAATTTATTATATTTGAATGGTTATGTGATAATGATATAAAAAAAGGACTGATAATTTGTGAGTTTGAGATCGGTTATGGCTGGTCATACAACTTCAATGAGATCATGGAGAATGAATTCAAACATTATTGTAAATATATCAAGTATTTTTCAGTGCAAATTTATCATACAACATGATAATCCAAATTTACCGCAAAACTTTTATAATGAATACAAATATGCATAAAGGGTAAAATGGTTCAAATTTTGGTTCAACATGCACACAACACTGACCCAAATTTTCCAAGCAGGCCCATGTGCATGTGCACTGAATCATTTAAAGTCACATGTGTTGTATTTACATCATACTGTACTAAGTTGAGTCAAACATGTATAGTAACATCTTATACAGCAAAAGACACTGAGGTAAAGGGTAAAAAAAAGTCTCCAATGGAATGTAATACCGTAACTGTAGACAGCACCATGATGATCCTGCTATCTGCTAATACAGATACAGTAATCGGTGTATACCTAGCTAGAAAACTTTTATAAACACATAAATGAGCTAATTGCTTCAGCTGAATACAGTATTTACAACAAACAATGTTGAAATTATATAGCATTGTATATGCCATCACCACAGTAACTTGGATATTAAGAGACTAACAAATACACGAGGCAAAATTTATTACCTATGAAACATGGACAATATATAAAAACAATAATTCTGTGATTTCTTTTAGAACTATGAGAGATTTGATTTTAAATTTTTGCGCCATGCCTCGAGAATATCGATTTTAAACAAAATAACCCCATTCCTAGGCATAGGTTACTTGTTAGATTACTTTGATTGTACGGCATGGCATTACTTAGAGTATTTTGAATCTATACCAAATTCCCCTCCCCCAATATTCCAGTGCATAGGAATTTTGATGTACTTCATAAAATTACGAATATAAAAAATAGAAAACTGAAGGCATGCATGATTTTATTCTTTATTGTGGAATAAATAATTGCATGTGATAATAAATACAAACAGGATATAATTAGAAATGGAAGGAATATTCACTCTCATAAAGCCTGTTAATTTTCTTTAAATTTGCACAATTATTTTTTTTCTGTATAAATAATTACAAGCGGAAGAAAATGGTAATTACTATTTGCAACTGATACTTAACTGAAAGCAGCTGCAATGACCTCTTATGAATATAAAAGTCTACTCATAAAAACGTAAGGGCAAAAGTAATACTTATTTTTGTAGATTGATTTGAATGAAAACTTAGATGATACTAAAACTTATAGGCAATATGTTTGACATGTTTAATTTCAACATAACATTACAGTCATGAATGAAGGGAATCATTTATAAAAATTTAACAAAGAATTCTCTTTGATACTAGTGTTCTATCCTTAAGCATGTGCTGTCTAGGGTCTATACTAAGCACAGTTATGCCAAATACCTACATTATCTGACATTCAAGTGAAAATATACACAGTATGGTCCCTTGCAGCTTATGTATGATGGTCAGTTTACCCTGAATCAAACTATGTCATGGTTATTCCCTGTTCATATTTACTTCAGGGAATTAACCTTCTAACTAAGAATCAGAGCTGATACACAAATGTAAAGATGCATTTTAATTGAAAAAAATCTAATGTCCTGTCAGAACTTGTGTTGAAATCAGCCCTTTATATGAATACAAATGTACATAAAAATTGGAGTAAATACAAAATATGCAGACTGGGACTGTAAAATGAGTGTTCTACTAAGTGTTCCTATACCAGTAATGATGCGAGTTCATGAATATCATACCAAAATCAGTTATATATGAGGATGCATCTTGATAAAAATCAGCATGTGTTACAATGATCATTTGTCTTAGAAGAGTCATCCAGTGAAACAACTGCATTCTTATTGCAATTAAAATGTTCTGCATTTTAATAATGTTTAATTCATAATGCCCCCATTCCATCAGGGAATATCTCACCTAGTGGCAATATAAATAATCAAAACAATTGAAGATCGGTCAGAAAAAAATTACTAAGCATTTAATAATATTTTTAAATCACTCTATATCAACCATTAATGTTTTTTTTTTAAAAATAACTTTTCTAGTTTTTGAGATGAAATCTTCCAGGATAAGTAAAATATATGCATACAAGCTTCTGGATAATGGGGCCTTCCATGATTTAGTACTTCCCAAGAGCAAATAACATGGCAAAATGTGCCAGTAAACCATTTGCACTTTATAGGACACAAGCAGCTTAACCAAAACCAAGTATGCGGAACATGAAAAAGTATAGAAAATATCTCCAACTTTTATTAAAATTGATGGTATATTGGTTATAATAAACCAATCATATCTTTAAATTCTGTCCAATTCCCAGCCTTATTGTCACCCTAATCACATATCCATCTAGAACGTTTTAATTATCAAATGTAAACATGGTAATCTTCTGAAGAGAATTTTTACACTGACAATTTCTCATCTTGCTGCTTTCTTTAAATTAATTCACTAAGTATGAATGATATTTTTTGTTAACAAAATCCTTCAATCTGAATCACTGAATGATGACACTTCACTGGAATCTGAATCCTCCTCATCATTGGTCTTGTCAGCTGCTGGGGCTGGAGCATCTGGGTTACTAGAAAAAAATATTAATAAAAATAAAGAGATGGTATTTACTTTCAAAATTCTAAATTCCATAAAACAGTCTAACAGTATGCATTATGGGCCTAGTTATTATGTGAAAGATGTGCTGGCTATACACATCTGCATTCTTGGTTTGAATCTCTAAATTTATCATGTGCATTCTGCTGCTCCTCTGATATCAACTGTTTTGTAATCTTTTTACACCTCAAGGGTGACAGTTCAATGCTTTGTCTACTTAATGTATCATTTCTGATGGTACCTAACAAAACCATACAAAGGTAGCCAGGTCAATGTTTCTTTCATAATTTAAGTTTTCACTGACACCAGAGAAATGTTATAGATTTTCATTTTTCCCACTTTCTTTTTGCCAATGTCCTTCCCTATAATTGGAGTTGTTCCTATGTGTGTGTGTGTGTGTGTGTATATATATATATATATATATATATATATATATATATATATATATATATATATATATATATATATATATATATATATATATATATATATATATAAAGAATTATAAATATATACCAGACAGAACAATTGGTGCTCTTCCTGGATTCTGCAGTAGAATCTTGATAATAGTGGGTAGAATTAATAGTTTAATACAAGCAGTACTATCATACAGGTTAGAGAAATGAAGTTCGTACTCTACAGAGTTTCAAACCCAGGTCCGCAAGTAAATGGCACCTATCTCCTTGCCTGCATGCACCAGCCCATATGCCGTCATGACTAAGCACGCATCACCTAAAACTGATGGAACTGAGTCGGTGTTATATGAGTTCATGCGTAGCAGACAAACTCGCATGATGACCTATATACACATGACACACACAAACACACACACACACACAGACACACACAGAGTCCTTGAGTTTTAAGATGACTGTGATATTACTACATAGTTTAAATTCTGTATGTGAATGGCTGATCAAGCTAATTTGTGCTCTGAACTGTCCAAGATACACTTGAAAAATGATGCAGTTTGGGTGTGATTGATCAATAGAATATATGCTGCATTTTTTAATTTTCCACTGCTCTCACTTCTGAACCAACTCTGCAATTATTCTCCTTTCAAAGTCTGAAGCTCTGT